CTATCTCAGTAGATTTAAGGCAGGTTATTACTCATTCATGTCATAGTTTAATGAGAGTTATTGGTTCTCCTGCATGGCTCTGCTCCATTGATTATTTAGGTATCTAGGAACACAATCATGTGTTCCAGATGGCACACGTGGTTTCCAAGGTTACTGAAAGAAGATGGAAAGGTCACCCAGAATTGTAAAAGCCTTAGAAGTGTCTTTTATTAGAGGCAGCCCGGGTGGCTCAGTGGTTTATCACTGCCTTTGGCCCAGGGCCTGATCCTGGAGACCCGGGATCAAGTCCCATGTCAGGCTCCCTGCATGGAGTCTGCTTCTCCCTCTGCCTGTGTCTCTGCCTCTCTCTGTGTCTTTCAGGAATAAATAAATAAGATCTTTTTAAAAAAAGAAGTGTCTTATATTACATTTGGTGGTCCCAACTATATGGGCAAGGGAGATTGGGAAATGTAAAAGATATTTTTGATCAGGCAATTGTACTTTTCAGAGTCTATTCTATAGAAATATAGTAATTTGAATACATGTGTAAACATTTTCATTGCAGACAGCATTGTTTTTAGTGGGAAAACACAGAAATAACATAAATGTTGAGTAACAGGGGAATGATTTTAATAACATAAGGTACATTCATACTATAGAAAATAGACTCATTTGTATTTGTATTTATGGAAGTTTGGAAAGTCCCATAAAACTTCTATGCTGAGAAAAAGAGACACAACTAACTTAAAGTCATGTGAAGAAATAAACAGCATTTCGATCACTCCAGAAATTTTATGGAAATGTTCTATATTGTACTGAAGTGGTGGCTACTTTTTGTGCATACATTTGCCAAAACTCAACAAAGTATTCACTTAAAATGGAGGAACAGTATTGTATGTCAATTATTATAGAAGAAATTTGATTTAAAATAATAACAATCATAAAATAACCAGAAACATACACACAAAAATAAAAACTAACTAACTAAATAACAAATGTAAAGGTAGCTACAGAGGTAAATATAAAAGCAAGTAGTAAAAAAAAATAAAAAAATAAAAAAAATAAAAGCAAGTAGTTTGGGGCAGCCCTGGTGGCTCAGCGGTTTAGCGCCGCCTTCAGCCCAGGGCCTGATCCTGGAGACCTGGGATCGAGTCCCACATCGGGCTCCCGCGTGGAGCCTGCTTCTCCCTCTGCCTGTGTCTCTGCCTCTCTCTCTCTCTTTCTCTGTGTCCCTCATGAATAAATAAATAAAATATTTTTTAAAAAAAGCAAGTAGTTTTTCATATTTGGTTTACAATTCCTTTTTTTCCCTATATGTCTTAAAGGACAAATGCATATAACAATAATTATAAAGCTACATTAAAATGCACACTTACCATACATTCTGTTTCAGTTGAGTTGTACAGGAGTCTCCTTATAATGGTTTATGATTCCTAATTAAGGGCTCCTGAAAGTCACAATGTAATATTAGGGTATTCAGTTAAAATGAAAAACAGAAATACATCAATTTTTGAGTTATCCATCAAACTGATAAGTGTTTAATTGTAGGGAGCAGATTGAAATTGGAAGTATGGTTAAAGCAGTACGTTAAAATGAATAATAAAATAATGTAATCCATTATTTATGACAATAATATTTGTGACAATAGCAAAGTAAAAATACATATTGGTTTTTTTAAAGATTTTATTTATTTATTTGAGAGAAAGAGCATGAGCAGTGGGGAGGAGGGGCAAAGGGAGAAGCAGACTCTCTGCTGAGCATGGTGTACAACCAGGGGCTGAGATCATGGAACTTAACCTAAGGTCATGACCTGAGCCAAAGGCAGATGCTTAAATTGAACACCAATAAAAAATAAATTTATAAAAATAAAAAAAGGCAGATGCTTAACTGACTGAGCCACTCAGGCACCCTAAGATATATATTGTCTTTACCTAATAATATTCCTGAAGATGCTTCAGTATAAGAATCTCATGCTTTTGAACTATTGTGTAGTTTTCTTGGCATAGATGGGACACTCTTTATTTGAAATCTCCCTTTTGATGACCTTGGCTATTTCTAATACATTGGCACTTACAAACAATAACACAATAAACATCCATCTATGCTTTCCTGTGCGTGTGTGTACATATATCTCTATGGTAACACAAAGCAGTGCAAGTGCTGGGTCGTGTGATATGTACATATTTTTACTGGTTTGTTTGTTTTTTTTCTTTTCCATCTGTAAAAGCTATTGAGGTTATATATTTTCCCATTATCTGTCATGGTATTGAAAATATTTCCTCACAGGATATTTCCTATCTTTGGGCCTTTTATATTTTTTTCCTTTATAACTTCTGGACTTTTTTCATGCTTAAGAAGATTGCATCAGGGGATCCCTGGGTGGCCCAGCAGTTTTGCACCTGCTTTTGGCCCAGGGCCCGATCCTGGAGTCCTGGGATCGAGTCCCGCGTCGGGCTCCCGGCATGGAGCCTGCTTCTCCCTCTGCCTGTGTCTCTGCCTCTCTCTCTCTCTCTATGTCTATCATAAATACAAATAAATCTTTTAAAAAAAAAGAAGATTGCATCACAAGCATCACAAGATTGTACATGTTAGTTAATTTTCATTGTAATATTTTATTCTTGTTCTTCACATTTACTTTCTTTCTCTCTTTTTTTTAAAGATTTTATTTATAAGTAATCACTACACCCAAAGTGGAGCTTGAACTCACAACCCTGAATTCAGAGTCATATGTTCCACCACCTGAGCCAGCCAGGTACTCCATGTTTTCACATTTTCATCTTCAATCCACCTGGGATGTATTATTGTGTATGTGGTGAATAGGAATCTATATTCATTTCCTTCTGATTGGATAGTACGTGTACTTGATTCTTAGGTTTTAAAAAATTCTTGCAAATATGTGAAACCCTTAAATAAAATATTTATAGCTAAACATTTGCTCACCAATATGATTATTTTCTTAGGAGAAATTTTATTTTATTTTTTTTATATTTTAAATAGTAGAATTGTTGAGCCGTGGTATATGTAGTATATACAGTTTTTGTTACTTATTGTGAATAGAAGCAAAAAAATGGATGTAGCAATTTACTCTCTCATTGAGTATGAGAATGCCTATATCCTCAATAAAATTGAGTATTGTAAGCAAACATTTGCCTATTTGATAGGCAAATTTGTTTTTTTATTTTAGTTTTCATTTGGTTCTTCACCTCCTACCATGGCCAAATAATGTTTATTATTCACATAGATTTACTTGTTAGAATTTTCAGGCTAGAACCACGATTTTGACTTTCAGGAGCCCTTAGTTATGAATTGTAAACCATTTGGCTCTTTGATTATAAGGAGACTTCTGCACTGCTCAGCTGAAACAGGGACTATGGTGAGAGTATATGAAGCAATAATGGAGACCATGACTTCATGGGAAACCCCAATGGAGGGCCAGAGCCAAATGCAGAGATTCTGATTCAGAGTGTTTCTAAGAGTATCAGTGTGTATGGGGACATATGTGTCCAAATATTGCAAATTTAATAAGCACTCCAGATGATTATAAGGAGCTGTTTGAGACATCAGTTATACAATTTTACAATAACTTTATAGACTGAATATAGGAAATAATCCCTTTCCTGTTGGGTCCCATTTAAAAATTCAAGTTATAGTTTGTAGTGAAGTAGATTATTGCCAATTTTATGCAATCAAAGGTAAAAGTGGGCCAGGAACACTAGATTCTAATTAAGTAAACATTTATCAAATACCTACTATATGTAAGTCACTAATCAAAAAGAAATATAATGAAATATATGATATGGTGCTTACTTTGAGATGCAAAATAAAAGAAATCCAATTAGGAAATAATGCTTAAGTGTGTATATATACACAGATATATGTATGTATGTAATATACATATATATGCATGTATGTAATATAAATACACATATGTAAGTATATATGTGTGTATATACATGTCTTTTGTAAGACTAAAAATATATATACACATACATATGAATGAAATATATATACAATACATATTGTACAATAAAAAATATATATATTTCTATATATATTTATATATTATATATATTATAGTCTTACAAAGAATTTGTTTCAGGAAGGAAAGTGATAGAAATATGGGGATTGTTTTTCTAGAACTATTTTCTACATGTTTTGTGCAATTTATATGTCCCCTGATTTTCTTCTGAACCAGCAGGTCAGGCCTCCCAGGTGCCTTCAAGGGAGAGATCATCTCACAAGAGAAGGAGGACAAAATCTTAGTCCTTAGACCCAAGGCAACTCTGATTACAGCATTGTTTAAATTCAAACTTGTACCTTGGTCCAACTCCCAAAATGGCCTCATCGTGCCTGACTCCGATTTAGAGGAGGGGTCCTAGGATTGAAAACAGAAGGGGCTGTTTGCTAAGAACCCTGCAAGGCACTGTGGCCCAAGCAATCCTAGAGCAGTCTCACCTGTTTAAGAGTCACTATAAAGCAGAGGCTTTGGAAGACAGAGTGGGGGTTCAACCCACTGGGGACTCCAGGAGTGAGTGGGTTTTGACATCCAAGGACTCCAGTGTTCCAGGAGCAGTGAGGGCCAGTAGACAGCAAAGGACCCAGCAGAAGAGGCAGCAGTGCCCAGCAGGCATGGCAAAACCCAGGGGAGGAGGGTGGGGCTCAACAGCAGAGGACTGCCATGGAAGTCCCCACTGCCCTGCATACTAATGGACTTGCCCTTGAGCACAGGTAAGTGTCAGGGCCCTCCCTCAGATAACTGATGTTCTGTAGTGGGTTGGGGTTCTGTATGCACAGGCGGGAACAAGAGTCCACCAAGCCACAGCTCAGTCACCTCATTTCTTCCTCACAGCAGCCCTGTGAGGCAAATGATTTCCCCTCAAAAAGGATTGAGTCTTAAAGCAAGTATATCTGTGATAACCGCCAGTTTTATTCCTCTGGCTAAGAGATCCAGAGGTAATTTGAAGTTTACATTTCATTTTTATAGTTCTATTGTCAAGAGTTTATTAAGTGTTTTACTGCCCTTCAACGGTGATTGACAAGTTTTTTGTGTCTGTTTATTTTAGTTTTTTTGTGACACAATACACACACATACACACACATATAGATTCATTTTTTGGAAAATGAGAAGATGCAGATAGGCAAAAAAATTAAATACAGATCACACAGAGTTCACTGTTAACGTTTTGGTGTATAATAATTCAGACTTTTATGCATTATGTCATATATAAATGTACATATAAAGTGCATATATATATATACACACACAGTTTTGCAATGTATTATTTTTACTTTACAATATACAATGAGCATCTTCCCATGCAAATGAATGAGACATCCTTATTAAATGAATGAGATTGGGTCAAAAGATGAGATGTTGGTAACCGGAGTCATATGCAAATCAAAGGAACATTGAAGGATAGGCGTAAAATGGTGCAATATTTAGCAAGAAAATGCAAACAAAAGGAAGTCGATGGTGGTAATATTAATAACAGAAAATAGTTGAATTCAGGAGAGAAATGCATTAAAAGGGGTAAGGACGGTCCCGAGAATGACTATGGTTAGAATGCAGAGCCCTAAATTTCTTTCTCAGACCCCTTATCTCTTCCAAACACCTTTCCATCTCATCTCCCTCCCTTGTCATTTCTTCATCCTTAAAGTGCCTATAGTCTATGTCCTCTTTAAATTCCTCGAGAGACTGAAGCAGCCTTTGCCTAAAATTCCCTTCTGTTTGCTGACGTTCAAATTCTCCATAGGGGCGTTCTTCCTCTCTCTTTGGCACGCTGCACTTGGGCTTTCCTTCATTTTCTTTGCAGGGTTTTTGCATGATGTTGCTTCCAGCTTAAGTCCGGGGAGAAAATGTAGAGCAAATAGCTTGTTTCTTTTGATTCAGGTTTGTCCGTTTCTGACAAGTAAGTATCTTTAGCAAGATAACCTGCCTAATCTCCCAACCCTGTCACATAGGTCCAGCCCTCTGAAGTTAGAGATGCCTCCCCTACCTCCCACATCCCCACCACTCCGCCTCCTTTCCCCTCCTTCTGCAACCCACCATTTCCCCAGCAGACAAGGCTAATGGCCTCTCTGACTGACGCGGGAGAAAGGGAGCAGAACGGTAGTTGAGCTGTGAGGCCGTAAATTTTACCCAGCTCTTGCCCTTCCCAAACCCCACCCTCAGAGACCCGGGCTAAGTGCCTCTCTCACACTCACCTGTGATGATTCGGGAGAGTTTCCTCTTTTTCTTGCCTCGAGGTGTCTGTGAACACAGACCCTTGGACCTGCAGACAGAAAGGAAGGCGGCGAGGAGGAGGGAGCTCTCGGGGGATCCACCAGCCCCAGAGACAAGACACTGTTATCTTGAGTCCGGGATCCTCACGACCGTCGTCGCCCCAAATTTCCTACGTCCTGGTTCCCCTCGGGTCCCTATCCCTTCCTCCTGAATCCCTGTCCCCACCCCACCCCCACCCCTCACTCTCTGGCCTAGTCATTGCGAGGGCTGCTGTCCCCTTGCCCCCTCCCACCGCCCCCCCCCGCACGACCCACAGGCAGGCATTGAATGAGGAAATATTTTGAAATTTTGTCTAAATTTCTGCCTCCACCTCAGGATTCTAGCCGTTCTCCACACAACAGCCCACACCTCATTTCCTCAACGGAATTGGAGAAAGAGGATAACGGAAAGCTTGCCAGTCTGAGAGAAGCTATTTATTTCTAAACTATCACTAAATCTCAGGAGACTTCCACCTACTCCCAAACCACCGTCCTTTCCAAAAATACAATCATCTCCCAATGAGTTTGCAGGGGTTTGGGGAAAGTGAGCCTAGACCTATTCCAGTCACTAGATTCAGCCACTACCACCCCAGGGGTCCCAGCGGTTTCCTGAAACCAACCTTCTGAGATTTAAGGAATTTAAGTCCTCCTTCTCTTGGCCACAACACAAACGGCTACAGGACAGTAAGGAGCTGGTACCCAGAGGAGAAAGAAGCCGGGGAATATAAGGACTTTGTGGCAGCTCCTGGTCACGTGAGGATTATGTCATCCTCCAACTCTGGTCCCCACTTTCCCCTCCCATCAGCTGTGCTGCAGAAGTAGAACAACTTACCAACCTCTCACCTCCCCACACCAGGCTCTGCCACTTATTTTTCTCACTGCTGATTACAGAGGTCAAGAGTGGCCCCTTCTCCTTGTGGTTGGAATTTGCCTTTTTCTGATTACCAGAGAGGGGCTGCATTTTCCTACGGTCATATTAACCATTGTGACTTTTTAGTAGTTGTATTAAGAGGATTACTCATCCTCTTCTAAGCTACAAAACAGAAAGGTACCAGTTTCCTGTGCACCCACCCATCCCTCCCCTGTCATCAATAGCCACCATTTATTTGCCTTTCTGTTCAATTCTAAAATCAAATTAGAGGGGGTAGGATAAATTAGAAAAGGAAGTAATGATTGAGATTGTGTTATTTTTACTTTTGTTCTGATAATTTCCTACTCTTCCATTTTTTCCATCAACTTATTATATTCTTTTATTAATCAGAAATACAATAACAATAAATACATTTGGAAAAAGACTCAAGATGGGAGGGAAAAAAGACCTAGGCACCTGTTTCTGCTGCCGAGTCATAAGATAAATATAGACCCTCCAGGCAGACACATTTTTGGAAGTTTAAAATATACAGGGCAGCTGGAAGCTACTAACCTTCTGGGGAGCCCTGGGTGTGTAAGGCCCTTTCATTAGGAGAACTACTGAGGTCATAAACCAACAGCACTTCACCCTTAGATTTTCAGACTTCAAAAATCCGTCATAAAACTTTACTAGTTTGATCTCAGTATCATGTCTTCTCTCTCAGTTTGCACTATACAGTTTTATTTCTTTATTTTCTGTATCCAAAAGGCCCCATCTTTTGGAATATTGAGGCTTCAATATTCTTATTGAGAATCAAATAGTTTTTCATTTCTCCCAGACACCATCATCCTATTTATGTTTTCTTATACGTCATTCAGCCACACTGAGGAATTAGGACCAACAGTAACTGGACACATTTAGTCATGAATCACAGTAAATTTTTTGTTGCTAAGGATTTTGGTAGTAATCTAAGTGGATTAGTTGTTGTCGATATGTTAGTTTGAAATATAGACAACAGAAAGAGGGATGTGTTCTTTTTTCCTTTGATTTTTTTCAAAGATTTTATTTATTCATGAGAGAGAGAGAGAGAAAGAGAGAGAGGCAGAGACACAGGCAGAGGGAGAAGCAGGCTCCATGAAAGGGAGCCCGATGTGGGACTCAATCCCAGGACTCCAGGATCATGCCCTGGGCCGAAGGCAGGCGCTAAACCACTGAGCCACCCAGGGATCCCCCTCCTTTGATTTCTTTTTAAAAAAATTATTTGAATTCAATTAACATATACTGCATTGTTAGTTTCAGAGGCAAAATTCAGTGATTTATCAGTTGCATACAACACCCAGGCTCATTCATTTCTTCCAATGCCCTCCTTAATGCCCATCACACAGTTACCCCATTCCTCCACCCACCTTCCTTCCAGCATCCCTCAGTTTGTTTCCTATAGTTAAGTGTCTACTATCATTTGCCTCCTTCTATTTTATTTTTCCTTCCCTTCCTCTATGTTCATCTGTTTTGCTTCTTAAATTCCATATATGAATGAAATCGTATGATATTTATCTTTTTCTCACTGACTTACTCGCTTAGCATACCCTCTAGTTCCATCCATGTCACTACAAATGGCAAGATTTCATTCTTTTTAATGACTAATATTCCATTATATATACCACATCTTCTTTATCTATTCATCTATCAATGGACATCTGGGCTCTTTCCATATTTTGGCTATTATGGACATTGCTGCTATAAATATTAGGGTGCATGTACCCTTTTGAATCACTATGCCTGTATCCTTTGGGTAAATAACTAGTAGTGTAATACATTGCTGGTTCTTAGGGTAACTCTATTTTTAACTGTTTGAGGAACCTCCATACTGTTTTCCAGAGTGGCTGCACCAGTTTGCAGTCCCACCAACAGTGTAAGATGGTTCCACTTTCTCTGCATCCTCGCCAACATCTGTTGTCTCCTAAGTTCTTAATTGTAGCCATTCTGACTGGTATGAGGTGGTATCTCATTGTAGTTTTGATTTGTATTTCCCTGATGCTGAGTAATGTGGAACATTTTTTCATGTATCTGCTGACCATTTGTATGTCTTCTTTGAAGAAATATCTGTTCATATCTTCTGCCCATTTCTTGACTGGATTTTCTGGGGTTTTTTTGGGTGCTGAGCTGGATAAGTTCTTTATAGATTTTGGTTACTAGCTCTTTATCTGATAAGACATTTGCAAATATCTTCTCCCATTCTGTAGGTTGTCTTTTAGTTTTGTTGACTGTTTCCTTTGAAAGAAGGATGTGCTCTTAAAACTTGTTTTTTAGGAAGACAATAGCTCAATATGAATGCAAAGTTGCCACTAATCAGTTTGAGGCAAATGGCTCCAGAAAATACTTAGAAGAAAGAGAAGAGGTATTAAGAAGAATGCAGCATTGTTGTCACAGTTATTAAGAAATGCTAAGTTGTGATAGAGGCATAAGATTTATTGATAGGATGGGGAATTCCTGAATCCTCTGAAAGCAGCTTTTCATGCAGAATCATGGTTTTCAAATAGCTGGAAGAACCCAGGTGCTGAAGATTTTAGCATTGTGGTAAGAAGCTTAGCTTTGAATAGATCTGAATTTGAATTAATTGCATTTACTTGCCTATTGTATAACCTGGGCTCTAAAACTTGGATATTAAAACTTCCCTGTGTCTCATTTATAAAATTAGGCTAATGCTTCATAGAGTTATCAGAGTTAAATGATATAATTTATATAAAACCTTTAGTACATGACTAAATAATACCAAATGCCCAAATAAATGACAGGTCTCAATGATTACCTAGTAAGGTTCTCAGGAACCCTTTCAGTTCCCACTGTGGCTCTACTACCACTCCTCTAATGCAAACAGCCATAAACTCATGGACAACCACAATATTTACTGGTCTCTTTGCCTTACATCTTTCCACTCTTCAATAGAATGATGATTCCAATCAACAGATATGATCATATTATTGCCCTGAATTATTTTATTTCATCCTCCAACAATCTTACTAGGTAGGAACATCTTTAGTTGATCTTCTGAACATTTCATGGAATACATCTCCATTTTCTTCTTAAAGATTTATTTGTTTATTATTTTAGAGCGGGGGGGAGAGGAGGGAGAAAGGGAGAGGGAGAGAATCTCAAGCAGACTTCCTGCTGAAAGTGGAACCATGGGGCTCCATCTTATAACCTTAAGATCATGACCTGAGCCTACCTGAGCTGAAACCAAGAGTCAGGTGCTTAACCAATTAAGCAACTCATGCATCCCTACATCTCCATTTCTAAGTAAAAGCTAGTATGAAAATACATGCAAATGCAGGCAAAGTAAGATATTGAATTAGATTTGACTTGTTTGCCTAGGATTGACTGATGTGACTCATAGATGAGGACAAAGAGGCATTATGTATCATAAAAAGAAACTCCAACAATTGGGACCAGATACCTTCACAAAAGTTTGACAAAAGGCATCTAAGCCACCTCTACCGCCTGCAACAATCACCCTAGTCTTCCCTCCCCCAAGTCAGGGTAAGGAGACAGGTAAGCATAAGAAGTAAAGAAATGTGGGAGCCATTGACCTTGTGGGGAGGTCAGTATTGTTCATTGTAACAACACCAGTGATACTTACAACTTATATAATACTTCTTAGTTATTGCCTAATTCTTCTAAGTACTTTACATATACTAACTGAATTAATACTTATAATGCTATTATTAGGAAACTAAGGAGTACAGAGGTTAAGTAGCTTGCCAAAAGTCACACAGGAAATAGTGGATATAGAATTTTGAATAAGGTACTATGACTCCAGAGTTGGCACACAGTGAAAGTCAATTCTATCACTTTTTCATGGATAAGAGCAAGACTGTAGATTCCTCCCTCTTTTAAACCAAGTGGATCTTTAAAAATAATAAATAAAATAAAATAAAATAAAATAAAATAAAATAAAATAAAATAAAATAAAATAAATATAATAAAAAGCCAAGTGGAAGTGGAAGCTCTAAGAGAATCATATACAGAGAGAGGTCTGTAAGAAGCGGATACTGGTGTACAATCTCCAGTTAGATCACTGCTTATCTTGTTGATCCAAAAATATAAAACATATATAAAACAATGTGGTAGATGTGAATACAATTCTACCAATAATAACATTAAATGTAAGTAGATTAAACAATCCAATCTAGGAAAGAGATTGTAAAATTGGATATAAAAACAAAATACTTTATCAAAATACTATCTACAGACGAAAAACTTTATACTCAAAGGTACATATAAATTAAAAGTAAAAGGATGAGAAAAAGTAAATTATGCAAATAGATAGATCCCCAAACCTGAGAATGACATCACAAGAAAACTACAGATCAGGGCAGCCCCGGTGGCGCAGCGGTTTAGCGCCGCCTGCAGCCCGAGGTGTGATCCTGGAGACGCGGGGTCCCGCGTCGGGCTCCCTGCGTGGAGCCTGCTTCTTTCTTTTATGATATAGATGCAGATACCCTCAATAAAATACTAGCAAGCTGAATTTAAAAACATTTAAGAATTATATACCATGACCAAGCAGAGTTAATCTCAAGAAAGTCAATATATGTATACATCATATTAATAGAATAAAAAACCCCACCACATTACCATTTCATTTCATCATTTTATTTTAGTGAACAGCACAAGGATTTTTTTTTAAAAAAATACAACAGCTCTTCATAATAATAAAGAAAACTCTCAAAAAAGTAGAAATAGAGGAAATATCCTCAACCTGATGAAGGACATATAAGAAAAATCCACAGCTAACATTATGGTTGCTGGCAAAAGAATGAATGCTTTCCTCCTATGAGGAGG